CATCTTTGATGACAAACTGACCTTTGAAGTGAACACTGACACCATCTTCAAAAAAGGCCAATCAAAAATGTAATAATTTAATAAAAAAATAAACTATATAATACATCCATCTTTAATTGAGTCCAGTTTAACTTCAGTGATGATCTGTTGGTTTGGTAACCGCAGCATTGTTTACAGAAACAGGCGGGAAGTTGAACTTTGCAGAATGATTGTTGGCGTCGACTCGACTTGAATGGTCCCGGCCTGGCCATGGAAGACCCTCAGTGGTGAGTTTGTTACCGTTCCTTTGAGCAGTTTGACCTCACTTTGGGATCCCGAACTATTTCTTGTTTCTGGGCTTAAGTTGACGCACGTCAAGCAGCTCCCGCTAACCGGCTCTTGGCTCGAAGCGGAACTTGAACTCCTTTTTTTAATAGATTCATTTTTTTTTTATTAATAATGATGTGTGTTTGAAGATATACGTGGTCTCTTTAAGTTTATTTGGTTAATTTAAACTTTAATTTTGATCTTTTTATTTTTACTCTTGCTTGTCTTTTGATTTTATATTTTTGTTACTTTCTCTTTTGTTATTTTTATTATTTTTTTAATTTTCTTATACTTTCTGTGAATAATGTTTCAATCAATCGATCTGAAGAAAATCTTTATCTCTATAGTAGAAAAACATTTTTAATCTTAAGAAACTTTATCTGATCAATCATTTCTAAATATCATCGTCTCTTCTTTCAGCCGCAATAAGCCGCTTTTATTTTGTATTTCACGGCACATACACCGGAAGTTCTGCAGCAGGTGCTGCCGGTGATTGACAGTTTGAGAGTTGCGTGTGCAGCGGAGCGCTGCGGGTTCAGTTTAGCGACTAAAGTCTCCAGTTTTCTGTCTGTTTGTCTCTGACATGAAGAGCGCGTGAAGCTCAGGACTGACCGCGAGACCTTCAGGTAAGACAACCTGTGTGTGTGTGTGTGTGTGTGTGTGTGTGTGTGTGTGTGTGTGTGTGTGTGTGTGTGTGTGTGTGTGTGTGTGTGCGTGTGTGCGTGTGTGTTTATGTGTGTGTGTTTATGTGTCACCTGTTTGCCTGCGGGGGAGCTGCGTGAATGAGCCTCCGCAGCTCCTCCATCTGATCAATCAGCTCTTAATTAACTCTTAATGAGATGTTAATGAGCTGCTGACGTCATCAGGTTAATGATCGTTAATGAGCGGATGATGATGATGAAGATGAAGAAGAGGTAAAACAAGTTGAGTGTGGTCCTGCAGCTTCTCTCTCTGCAGACCTCAAACTCTCTGACTTCAGTTTAACATTTCAAAGCTTCAGTTCAGCGTCAGAGACAAAAACGTGTCCTGACGTCGTTTTTAAATTAACGTCTTTATTAGGACAGAAGTGAACTGAGCTCCTTCTGTTCAGTGACATCAGTCCTGAAAGTGCTGTAGACATGACTTGAATCAGAAAGGTCGTCATGCAGCTTGGTGAGCTTTAAAGCAGCTGATTGTAACTTTGATTCAGTATAAAACATGACATGAGAGTGTGTGTAATCTGAGCTGTGAGATGCACAAAGCAGGAAATACTCCAGGGAAGAAAGACATGAAACTTTACTCAACCTGAGGCTAGTTGTTGGTCTTAAAACACAAACCCTACAGTCGGGTAAAGAGGTGAGACATATTAAATCATAGAGAAGTCATTGGGGGAAAGTATTGGTCATAGATGTGATGTTGTGTTTGGTCCTGCAGTGAGTCGACGTGCAGAGCTCCTCCTCTGTTTGTTTTTTACCTGCTGAGGGAGGAAAGGTGTTCACACTGAGTCACATCACGTGCAAAACATCCAAGTTCACTGAGTGCGTCTTCATGATGTTGAAAAACAGATTCATTGTGTCAGTGCAACTAAAACTGGACTTTCTAAAAAAAGACGTAAATCAGAAACTAAAATCGTACTAAAACAAAAAACTCAAAGTCGGACTAACACACCGAGATAATGCGGTTGGAGATTTACTCTCAACCTCTGGTGCTGAAAATTGAAGAAGATAGCTGAAGTGTAAAATCCTGCAGTTCCTTGAGTGTCCACTAGAGGCTGGCTGCAGAAGCACAGGAAGTCACATACACACCCATTCTAAAAAGCCTGTTTTTACAGCAGAGATGAACATGTTTACAGCCTGGTTCAAAAAACCAAATAGGTGTGATTAGCTCATGTCTGGATGGACACACACTGTACGGGGGGTGAATGTTTTGATGACTCATCAGTTTTGATTTGATGAAGGATAAGAGTTATTCACAATAAGGCGTGTAGCTGACCTGATTGACAGGTGGGCGCGGTGTAACGGTTTGTCAGGAGGTTTAAAACCCGCCTCAGCTCCAGCTCTCAGCCTGTCGTTAGGTTGACTGAAAGTTATACTGAGACAGCATTTCCAGCATGAAGACCGCCATCGAGGGGACTCCAGCGCCCCCTGCAGGAACAGAAGGGGGACGCCATTGATGAGACTCCAGCGCCCCCTGCAGGGACAGACGGGGGACGCCACTCAGGCTTTAAAACATTCATATTTACAGTCTGTGTTTCCACTTCAATCAGTCCCAACTTGGACTAGACATTCTGAGAATGCTCCAAAGTGTACGAGCAGTCATGTGCTCCTCGGGAGGTGCCGTTTCCGAGTCGGGAAGTCGTTCTCCCGACCTCAGTGTTTCACGTTTTTTTTTACCATTAAGAAAACCACATTTTTTTAAGCCAGGTTGATGAAGAATATGACGTCAAGTCTGCACGTCCGAGTTTCCGAGTTTGTGAGCCATGAGAGTTCAAGTGCATTTTCAACACCATCCATGGCGCTCTCAGCTTGACTTGACGACTACATGACCTCTTGACCTCAGTAAATGAAGACAGTAATGTTGTGGTGAAAGCTACGGGGGGGGGGGGGGGGGGGGGGGGGTGATTCAGGAGAGCCAGACTGACATGAGGGAGACTCGTCTCTCTGCAGACAGCAGAACTCTGATTTGGTGGAGAGACACGGGGTCAATACAAACCTGCAACTCTCCAAGCTGGCTCGCAAATATTAGTGTGTAGCAGGAACGTCTGAAGAAAACAAAGATGGACTGTCCTCTGATTTCTGAGCAACAAAGAGATAAAAAAACATGTGACCGACTCTAACGAAGACAAGTGGAAACAGAACCTGATGATTTTTGTGTTCTTGTCCCTGCAGGACCACCGCCAGCGCCAGAGCGTCCTCATTGGCTGACAACCAACTGGTGGCGGAGTCAGAGCAACTGGGCTGCAAAGTGGGCGGGACGTCCTCTGAGCAGAGATGCTGCTGACTTCCTGCTCCGCCCCCTGCAGCTACACCGTGCTCTGGTAAATAAAGTATTTCTGTAAACATGAATCAAAAGAGACTTTAATGTGGAATCAAAGCACATTAATCAAATACTCTTTAAAGAGTTTAAAGTTTAATCAGCTGCATGTCGATAACGTTTCAAAGTACTCATCTTCTGTAATAGAGCGCCACAGGAATTCAATTCAATTCAATTTATTTGTAGAGCGTCAACTCATAACGGAATGAGTCCTAAAACCCGGAAGTGAGTTAGCATTTGAGCGCCATGGGGTCTAATGTCTAAAAGTCAACGGGGATGTTGAATGGGTTTGTGGTTAGACTCCTGAAATAAGGTCTGTGGTTAACACAAGCTGAAGAGATGTTGGCATTTTGTTAAACCACATAAACCATATGGTCTATAAACTATACATGTATATGTTCAGGGTTATTATTCCTGCAGCTCGTACCAAACTTAGAACATTCTATGATTAAACTGATGCGTTCACACAGACTCTGATCAGTTTATAGTTTATGATCAACAGTGTAGAGAAGATTCATTCATTTGATAGTGATGACGAGCTGATGTGCAGCATGTGATGAGCTGTTACAATGAGACAGCGTCCATCAAAGAGTAAAGTCTGCAGTGTTCACACGTGATCAGAGGGAGTTTGTGCGTCTTCTTCCTCCACTTCTGTTCATAACAACATGCCTTTAGAAAAAAAAGTTTCTTTAAAGTCGTTAAACAAACTAAAACCCAGAGTGTCTATGATGGGTCAGACATCTTTGATTATGTTGGAAACACCTCGATGTGGACATTCTCCGCCCTTCAGGAAGTTGTATCACTCAGCAGGAAGTGACACACTACTAGAGAGAAAGACTGAGGGTGCGTTCGAATTGTCCCTCCTATCTCCTTTCACTATCCACTTTCCCTTAACCCCGGGGAAAACGTCATGAGGTCAAGGAAAGGTGTTAGAATTCATAAAGGACTTTGGGAAAGGCGATCTCGTTGCTCTGACAATCCGACCACATTTCCACTAGGCCACGTCATTAAATGTGACGGCCGGCGGAGGTTAATGACGTGGGTCTGACATGTTGAAACTACAATGTTCAGATAATGGACTACAAAAAGATCATCTAAAAAACTTTCCCCTGTGCTTCTTACCGGTGAAATAATCCTGATCACCACGAGGTTGGGATTGAAATAAAAGAAATATAGACTACCAGGCTACAAGTAAGAAAAGTGAAACCATCAGCTTCCTGTCCAATCAGAAATCAACATCAACATCAATATGATTGGATGAAATTAATTGTTACATTAATGCAAAATATAACCTACACATAATGTTTTAAACATACAAATGTACAGCAGCACAAAACATTCTGAAGTGAATGAAATATGTTGAATAAAACATCCTCTGATAGAAATGTCTCTTATCTTTTATCTCTTCACGATCATCGTTAATGTTCCTGAACGGTCGGATGGGCGACTTGCTTTAAATGTTGCGGCCGCAAGGAATTGTGGGGCATCATATCTCATCTCCTTTGGTAAAGGATGGTCCAGTGTATCCTAAAGGAGGTTATAAAGGAAGCATTGACCCACCTTTCCTTAAATTTTAGAGAATTCTAACGGCTCTTATCATGGCCGCCACTTAAATGCTTCTGGGGTTAAAGGTGAAGTGGATAGTGAAAGGAGACAGGAGGGACAATTCGAACGCACCCTGAATGTACACTTCCTCACCGTGTGCTTCCTCCTCCAGGTGCCTCCTGATGATCCTCACAGCTCCTCCAGCTGCTCTCGGGGTGAGTCCATCTCTCTCTCTTATTTCAGAGAGAGAGATTGTTTGTCTTGTTGTTTGTTGTTGTGATGTTTGCTGTGATGTTTGTTGTTGTGATGTTTGCTGTTGTGATGTTTGTTGTGATGTTTGTTGCTATGATGTTTGTTGTTGTGATGTTTGCTGTTGTGATGTTTGCTGTTGTGATGTTTGCTGTTGTGATGTTTGCTGTTGTGATGTTTGTTGTGATGTTTGTTGTGATGTTTGCTGTTGTGATGTTTGCTGTTGTGATGTTTGTTGTGATGTTTGTTGCTATGATGTTTGTTGTTGTGATGTTTGCTGTTGTGATGTTTGTTGTGATGTTTGTTGTTGTGATGTTTGTTGTGATGTTTGTTGTTGTGATGTTTGCTGTGATGTTTGTTGTTGTGATGTTTGCTGTTGTGATGTTTGTTGTGATGTTTGTTGCTGTGATGTTTGCTGTTGTGATGTTTGTTGTGATGTTTGTTGTTGTGTTGTTTTGATGTTGTTTGTTGTTGTGATGCTCATGATGTTTGTTGTGATGTTTGTTGTTGTGATGTTTGTGTTGTGATGTTTGTTTTGATGTTTGTTGTTGTGATGTTTGCTGTGATGTTTGTTGTTGTGATGTTTGCTGTTGTGATGTTTGTTGTGATGTTTGTTGCTGTGATGTTTGTTGTTGTGATGTTTGCTGTTGTGATGTTTGTTGTGATGTTTGTTGTTGTGTTGTTTTGATGTTGTTTGTTGTTGTGATGCTCATGATGTTTGTTGTGATGTTTGTTGTTGTGATGTTTGTTTTGATGTTTGTTGTTGTGATGTTTGTTTTGATGTTTGTTGTTGTGATGTTTGTTGTATTGTTTGTTGTGGTGATGTTTGTTGTTGTGATGTTTGTTGTTGTGATGTTTGTTGTATTATTTGTTGTGGTTGTGATGTTTGTTGTTGTGCTTTTTGTTGTTGTGATGTTTGTTGTATTGTTTGTTGTGGTGATGTTTGTTGTTGTGCTGTTTGTTGTTGTGATGTTTGTTGTTGTGATGTTTGTTGTTGTGTTGTTTGTTGTGGTGATGTTTGTTGTTGTGATCTTTGTTGTTGTGATCTTTGTTGTGATGTTTGTTGTTGTGATGTTTGTTGTGTTTGTCACTGTGAGTAGTTCCAGTGATGCAGTGTGTGGCCATATTGGAAGAAGGAAAGTCCCGCCCATTGAATTTCATTCTCTGACGCGACAGACCGGTCTCATTTGACAAAAACGATAGAACTTCTTACCCAAACCCCCCCAACGTTTGGTTTTACTGTTTTGCAAATCATCACAAACTTTTTTCGTAATTCATACTTTACACAACGTCCCAACTTTCTTTGAATTTGGGGTTCAGAAAACATTTTCACTGTTGGAAGCATCTCTGCTTTTTTTGTTGTCTGAGTTGTGATCTCACTCAGATTTTATCGTGTGCAGGAAAACAGCTGAACAATATGAGACCAAATAGAGTCTCTGAAGCCATCAGCACACCTGCACATGTTCAGTGTTGTTTCTCAACCTCCAGCTTCAATGACAGCTTCTCCAGCTGTTTGGTTGGACTATAATTGATGACAAGAGAACCTCTGAAGGTTTATACTTCCATCAAATCTCCGCCATTGTGAGCTCTACATTCTTGTGCGTTGGTGTGTCTGTTGGCAGTGTGATTTCTGCATTATATCACCAATTTCTGGTTCCACCACATTCTCTTGCTTGTTTGTTTACAGGAATCCATGGCAACATGGCAACAAAGCATAATAAGATGGAGCAAATAAATATTGAGCAGCAGTTTATCAAACTGCAATTATTGTAGAGAAGAAAAGAGCGGAGACATCGTAGGAGACATATGAACCCATGCTGAATCAGTTGAGGCAGAGGACGGGGAATGTTTGGTGCTCGTTCGGCCATTGAGAGACACAGGCGAGGAAATGATCTGACAGTAATGTGAAAGACGGCCACTAAAAGTTGACTTTGCAGCTTGCAGCTTTTGATAAAGTAATCTTATTGATGACTGCGTGCTTCCACACTGAAGTTCTTTAAAGCATGACTGTGTTTGTCCTCTTCTGTATTTATCTCTAAAACTTTGTGTATGTCTTCAAACTCTGACCAATATCCCTCACTTGTCTGTGATTTCAAATATCACTCCTTCTCTATCCAGCAGAAACATTCCTCAGCAATGAAATTAGGTTTTTCCACTTGTGGGTTTTTAAGCTTTTTCAGGACTCTGAGCAGGAGATTAATTTCCCATAAATCTGGATGTTGTGACTCGACTTAAAAGTTATTAAAAGAATGTGACATTGGGTCAGCTACTTTCAGGTTTTTACTTTTGCTCAGACTAAGAACTCAAAGTGTTGGATTCATGTTAGAATCAGGGTTTCCCTGGGGGAAGTAATTTGGATGATGCTAAATATCTGAGGTCGGGGCCTGGCGCGTATTGTTACCTCCTTTTTGTGGCACCCTTCCAAAGGCAACCACCGGTGGTGAAAAATTAAGCCAATTAAATGTGGAAATGCAAAATACTGCAGTTCTTCGAGTGTCCACTTGAGGTTGGCTCCAAGAGACCCAGAAGACATATACACACCCCATATTAAAATGTCCGTTTTGACAGCAGAAATTAACATGGCTGCAACCTGTTTTGTTTTGATTCTTTAGTGTCTTTATGGGCACAAACTGTACAGGCGGGGAATTTCTGTATATCTCACCCGTTTTTATGTTATGAAGGATACAAGTCATGCACAATTAGGGGTGTGAAAGACTCGACTGCAAGCTGCTGTGTTGTATCAGTTTGTAAGAAAAGGCCCGCCTCAGCTCCACCTTGTTGCCTGTAGTTAGGGTCCGAGCTGTATTGACCATTTACATATCAGCAGGCTTTGGTGTGTGACTCCCATTGACGGTACTCCAATGATGATTTATTCATCTTTATAAACAGACATCTGCAAAGCTAACAATCTGTTATAGTTCAAACATTTGAACTAGAGCCACAAATCTGCTGCGTGTGGCGAAAGCCAATCAGTGTTTAGATTCCACGACCACCTGAAATGCATCAGAAGTGATCAAACAGACCTCCATTCAGTAAACGTTCTCAAACTTGTTTTCTTATCCTCTTGAGGACAGACTTGAGAGTTTGACTTTTGACTTTTTACAAATCTACATCATAATGTTGTTATTTTAGTCCCCTAAATTTTAAGTAAATTGTTTGAATAAGTTTCTTTTTCGGGCCCATCAGTGTCAGAGTGAAGCTGCAGTATAAGTTATACTCTACTGTTGAACGGCACTATTCTGGGATGTTTTGAACAAAGAATTGATGGTGTTTCCATTACAGACAAAAACGCAGCACAGAAAAGGAAGTCTTGCCTGGAAATCGTTTAATGCTAACTTCTGGCTTCACTGGAATTACGGAGAAATAAACAGCCGTTCCCAGAGCCATATATCGTCCATCAGACAATGATAGACGATGATTGGTGAAGGGTTACAGGATTGCAATGTTCCCTATTTGTCAGAGGGTTTGTGACTTGTCAGGTTCAGGTGTTTGCTGGACTCAGTTGGGATGTACCTGGGGCTGCAGATCACCTGTGTTTTGCTAATTTGGTGTCCCTCAGGGCTCCGACCTAAGTCCCCCTTTATTTTATGATTTATCTGGAAGTCAAAAGTGAGAGACTGTGATGGAGGGACGATGGAGGACAGATGGAGGGATGATGAACAGATGATGTGGAAGTGACCTTGCGGAGGTGTGGAAGCCTTTCTCCCCATCCGGTTGAGGTTGTCAGGTTCATATGGTCTGTGAACGGCAGCGGTATCTGCCAATCAGCTGCTTTGCTTTCTGTTCGGCCAATCAGTAGTTGAGTGATGATGGACTCTGGCTGGAGGATTAAAAGAAGTTATGGGAGCTGGAGTGAGGATGTAAGTGTAGGAGTGATGGAGGTTGCAGGAGGATGGTGTGAGTGCAAACGGGTACAGCAGATAGAGCGCTGATGGCGGATAAATGGCCGACTGATGGAGGGAGGATGGTGAGATTACAGACTTTCAGAACAAAGTCGTGACAGCAGATAGAGCGATAGCCACATTCCTGCCGCTGATAGCCACGCCTGACTGGTAACCTGGTTTACACAACGCTGCAGGAATGTGGCTGCTACACAAACACTGCTGCATGCTGGGAAACTCTCCGTCTGGGGCCCACAGAGAAATAAAAACAATCTCAGTACATCAACGGGGACACTCGGGGTGGGACACATGAAGCGGGACTGTCAGTGCTGGCACCTCTGTAAGAGTGGTACCCACTGTTTAATCTGACGTTCCCTAACAGCATCTTCAGCTCAAACACCTCTTCATCCACAGCAAGCATCATGTTCCAGATGAATTTATGTGAACTAATGTATTTTACTAACAATAGCTACTTTATTGAAGCAGATAGGTCTTTGTCACTTTTGACAAAGTGATCCAAGAACTCATCCCATTTTCCAGGGGTTATTCCGGGCTTTGGATCACTGGTTTTTGAATTACCTCGGTAGATTGTTTGTGCAGGTTGCACACTGCAATGTAATCTTTGGGGACAAACAGGCCTGTTCAAAGTGGTCCACTAAAAGTTCAGATTGTAGAAGTGCCTGACAACATTACAGAAAGAATCCCTACAAAGAAGACTAAAAGAAGACTGTTTAATGGAGAGTAATGTGACTTTCTGTACTTTAAACAGTCGTTACATCACTCTCTTGAAAGTCACCAAACTCCATTAAAAAACAATAGTAATTCTGCCTCACAAAACACAGGAGTTGCAGGTTAAACGCAGCCTAGATCAGCTGTTTTTAATATTATGGTTTGACTTGTTTTTTGTAATGGTAACCATACCCCTCTTGACCAATTATTGTCACATTTTTAGGAATAGGTTATTTTTATTTTTGCTGGAAACAGCTGTAACATCACTCAAAGACACAAGACTCCATTAATAAAAACATTATTAAACTAGCAGAAAACGGGAGTTGCTGGTCTACCGCTGCCTCAAACTTTGAGTTTTTCTCTATACCTTGGACACCGACAACAATTTGAAATGCCTGTTTTTAGGAATGTGGTGTGTTTGTAGAGAATGCTGTAACAGTTGTTTCTAGTTTCAGAAAATCATCATCCTCTGTAACCAAAAGGTCTCTCTCTGTCGGGATCCTTTCTGTAAAGTTGTCACACACTTAGAATAACAACCTGAGCCTGTCAGGGACAAGAACAACAACTTTGAGTGGACGCACTTTGATCAGGCACCAAAGACTTATGTGATAGAAGTTACAGCTTGGTTAAAGAAATCTACAGTAGAAATTTCAAAATCATCTTTCAAGTACTATTGCTATTTAGATCCCAAAGTATTTTAAAAGAGCGATGAGGTATGAAAAACGGTTAATTACGACCTTTGCACAAAACTTAAACCTAGGGGCTGCGGGTAGCCTAGCGGTTATGAAGCATGCCCCATATACAGAGGCCTTGTCCTGATCTCAGCGGCCGTGGGTTGAAATCCGACCTCGGCCCTTTGATGCATGTCATGCACGCTCTCTCCTCCCAACATTTCCTGTCTCTCTTCAGCCGTGCTATATAATAAAGGCAAAAATATATAGATATGTAAATATTTTTTTTAAAATCAACCTCTGAAAATTAGGTTAGCGATGTAACGGTTTGTCAGGAGGTTTAAAACCTGCCTCAGCTCCAGCTCTCAGCCTGTCGTTAGGTTGACTGAAAGTTAGACTGAGACAGCATTTCCAGCATGGAGACCGCCATCGATGGGACTCCAATGGCTCCTCCAGAACCAGATGGGTGACGTTACTGGTGACTTTGTCCACTATTATTTACAGTCTACGGTCAGCACCTCCATATAGCTGGGATTGAAGGATCCTTCTTTTATAAGAAGGTGTTTAACTGTGAGATTGGCAGAATAATGAGCCTCTTTCCAACGAATGATGAATACTCGACCATTTAGGGTCACCACTAGTTATATTATACATGAACATATAAGAACACGAGCTGTGCGCACACATGAAAACGTGTCTGGCCTCAGCTGCAGCGTTTTGTATTGAAGTGAGTTTAAAGCTCTCATGGTTTGATTCCTATCTGATGAACAGAAGCTGCTGCACATCTGTGCTCATTCAGACTATTCAAAGAGTGTGTAGGTCAGAAAAAATGGAGCAAAATTGTCACTGACGTTATCTGATAAACACACATACACACACACTGGTAGTCAACTGTCTGAGAATCTCAAAGATGCTTGTCTGTCTGTTCAGACAGTGTCTTTACATTCCTCACTGTCTGAACACCATAAAAAACAAAACGGACTCTGCAGGGGAAAATTCACCAGGAAACAAGGAACTCACCCTGCTGCAGTCTGAACATCCATCCATCCATTCATACACTCGGGTCAGGTTCATGATGACAGCAGTCTTAGCAGGGTAGCTCTTTTACCCCAGCTTAATTTCTACCATCTCCCTAATCTCCTTCAGATTGTGTTCATGAAGATCCCATACTTTATCGGCTCCTTAAATCCTGATGAGGCGTCCAAAATTGTTAATCCAAACGCTATGAAAAAAAAGAACAAGCATTTAAAAGTTCTGTTCTTGTCTCCTCTCGTAGACTAGCTTGAAAAGGCTTGTTTTGTCCTCTTACAAATCTCTATCATGACTAATCTTTATAAACTGCTGATCGCAAAACAATCTCAACTAAACCGGTTTATTTTGGGATTAAACCGTTGAAGTCTGCAAGATATCAGCTCAGCTGTGATGGTTAGTGGTGGAACTGTCACGTAGTGGAGATCCAAAGTGGAAACAGAACGCTGGTAGTTGGTCTCCATCAGAATCACCCTGGCACATTAAACTAGGACCTGGTACTGATCCTAGCTAACACGAGATCAAACTGGGACCTGGTACTGATCCTAAACTGAGACCTGGTACTGATCCTAGCCAACAGGTGATCAAACTGGGACCTGGTACTGATGCTAAACTGGGACCTGGTACTGATCCTAAACTTGGACCTGGTACTGATCCTAGCCAATACGTGATCAAACTGGGACCTGGTACTGATCCTAGCAAACAGGTCATCAAACTGGGACCTGGTACTGATCCTAGCCAACAGGTGATCAAACTGGGACCTGGTACTGATCCTAGCCAACAGGTCATCAAACTGGGTCCTGGTACTGATCCTAGCCAACAGGTCATCAAACTGGGACCTGGTACTGATCCTAGCTAACAGGTCATCAAACTGGGACCTGGTCCTGGTCCTAGCCAACAGGTCATCAAACTGGGACCTGGTACTGATCCTAGTTAACAGGTCATCAAACTGGGACCTGGTACTGATCCTAGCCAACAGGTCATCAAACTGGGACCTGGTACTGATCCTAGCTAACAGGTCATCAAACTGGGACCTGGTCCTGGTCCTAGCCAACAGGTCATCAAACTGGGACCTGGTCCGTCTGAAGTAGCTGGAAGCAGCAGGAAAGGTGATCCAGTTCTTGAGTCCACAGTTCATGGAGAAGGAGGGAGATTAACCCTGCTCTGGTGATGTTGTGTTTAACCAACACAAATTAAACCCAAACAATCCAACAGCCAAAGTGCACCAAACGCCAAATGAAAATCACTTTGTTTTCTGTCCGTCTAAACTTCTGTACTCTTAATCTATTTTAATAAGCCAAGAGTCAATACGGATGAGCGTTGTTGCACCGTTTGTTCCCTTCATGCTAAAGAAATACATATGGAATGATCATTTTCATAAATCCAGGATGCACTGGCTCATGTAAACACTTAAAGGTTCTGTCAAATAAAACGACGGCGGTCCATGAATGGCTGAACACACTGCAGGGCGTGGGTGCACTTGTATAATATCATTTTGCAGATGTAGGCAGTAGCAGCTCTGTAAAATGCAGAAGTCAATCTCACAATAGCAACTGGCACAGACGAAACATACTTTTAGTGAGTTATTCATGTTGAGATATCTGATCAAGGTGAGGGTGATGTCGTTTTTCTTCCAGAAAAGGTTCCACAGGACTGGGGAGATACAAATCAGGAAAGAGATGACTGATAAGACAACCCAATCAGCAAGCACCAATCTGTGTCTGCATCATAAAAATCAACTCATTATATTCATAAACTGAGCAAGATGCTGTTTTAGAGAGAATACACAGTGGTTTTGACATTGCCTTAGTGATTAATAGTGACGGACCCAGAATCCCAAAGTTACCCCCATAAGATATAAGTCTACAGGCCATGTATACCTGATGGTGAACTCCAATAACCCCCAATGAGATTCAGAGCCTCTCACTGTTGACTAAAGTTGGTCTTCCTTGGCCCTTCTTGCAGGAGCAAAAGCGTGGGTACAATTTGTACATGACATATGATGGATGGCTGCATTGCATGATGTAGAAATCCAGGAGTGTTGGGGGGCTGTATCTGACAAAAACAACTCAGAATAAGCCACAAAGTCAGTAAAGTTTCAGTCATGTTCTCTATGGTGTTCTCTCTAGTGCTGATTCCTAACCCACATTTCCTGTAAACTGAGAAATGCTTCATGATGACGTAAAGCCAATGCCTGTGTTGTATTACAAAAAGATAAGGTTAGCGCGTGAGGCTAGGCCAGCGGGGGACTGGAGAGGGGGCGGGGCAGCTGACTGTTATTCCTTTTGACTGAGCTGTGGTTTGAGTGAAACTTGAGGAAGCAGTCAGGGGCTGAACCAATCAGCTCGGTGTCTTAGAAATAAGCAACTGCTTATGCAGGGAACTACCTCTGTTCACTGCCTCACCTGGGACCGCTTAAATCTAGGCAACTGCCACCACCCCTAACCCTAAGTCTTACCTAAGGAACTATGGCACTACCTCTGGGCAATAGCTGTGGATGGTGGCTTGTGGTTTTATCATGAACCGAACCTCAACCTGAACCCCATCCCTTAAACTTATCCAGACCCCTTACCCCGTTGGAAGAGCCAGCCATTAAGTCCCCAGCACACATGTATTGCCAGTATTGAATAACCATAGATCAAACCCCCAAATCCCGCCTCATCCCCAACTCTAGCCCCCTCCCTCAACTGGTAAGTTCATTAAACTCTACTTCTAGAAACGGTGTCATGATGAGGTCTCACTGATGTCAAGTTGTTATCATAAGGATGTGGTGTCGTATGTCAAATGAAAGACCTCCTCTAATGGATCAATATAGATATGACTTAAACTCATGTCATGTGTTTTTGCTACGTCATCGTGTTGAACGCCATGTGGATGGTATGATGTCATAACGAGTTCTTGTTTTGACATTTATTTGCTCTTTTGGTTTCCAGGGTGACGAGATGGAACCTTGCGCTGGTCTGGACTGCTCAACCTGTCAGTGTTTCCCAGCCAAAGGAGCGAGGGTGAGACTCCGCCGACTCAAAATACAGCAGCCAATCGGAGCCTGTCCTGCACCATGACATCATCACAGATGCAGACAGTTTATTCTGTTAGCAGACCATTGACACATTCATTGCCCCAAACCGCACACAAAATACACAGCGCAGACCCACACACTAAAACACACACAAACTGTGTGATAACGAGCTGGAGTGTTTTTTAGGAATGTGTTGGCGTTCATTTAGCAGCTGTTCACCTTACGAACAAAAACACACACACAAACACGCGCACATACAAACACAACAGCGTGATGTCACAGCGTCACTTCTCTCCCTCCTTCAACTCTGAGCTTCTGTTTCCAGAAACATCTTAAGGATAACGTAAACAGACAAAGACAAAATGATCCAGTGATTGAAAGTACAGAAGGTGATGTCTTTTGTGATATCACTTCTCACTAATAACATCGTGTTAACATGTTCCTATACACAGTCACAGTGTAGGCCAGATGTTTCTGTTCACAGTCAAGTGTCCTCCAGGTGTTTTCCTTTTACAGTGTCGTCTGTATCCAGATTCTAATAGGTCCAGATGTTTTTAATCCTCAGCCACATTGTGGTCTAGATGTTCCTTTCTGCTGTCATAAGGTCCTGATGTTTTAGCCCACAATGTTGTCCAGATGTATCTGTCCAAAGTCACTTCATGGTCCAGATGTTTGTCCTAACACTAGGATTTTGTTCAGATGTTGTTGCTGACAATGTCGTCCTTGTGTGTGTTAGTAAACTATCCTAGTAGATCCAGATGTTTTTGTCCAAAGTGACTTTGTGGTCCAGGTATTCCTGTCTACAGCCTCAATGGTCCAGATGTTTTTGTCCACAGTCTTGGTTGATCCAGAAGTTGCAGTGTAGGACAGTTGTGCTAACTACTGTCCAGATGATTATTTTACAATGTGGTTCATAGGTGTCAGTCCAAAGTTCCAGTGTAGGCCAGATGTGTCAGTCAACCATACTATTAGCTCCACATGATCTGCTGTAGTTTAACGGGTCATGATTTTTGAGTCCTCAGTCTCAGTGTTGTCCAGATGTTTTAGTTGGCTATCCTAATAGATCCAGATGTTTTTGTCCACAGTAACTTCATGGTCTGGGTATAACTGTCTACAGCCAGAATGGTCCAGATGTTTTTGTACACAGTCTCAGATGGTCCAGACGAAGTCACAGTGTAGGCCAGCTGATGTTCCTAATTTGGTCCCGATGTGTCTGTCCAGAGTCAAGTGTTGTCCAGATGTTTTCTACATAGATGTGGTCCAGTGTAGGCCAGATGTGACAGTGAACTATCAGAATTAGGGCAACATGATCTGTCCGTAGTTAAAGGGGTCATACATTTTGAGTCCTGAGTCTCAGTGTGGTCCAAAGTGCTTTAGCCCAGATGCTTTGGTCCAAAGTGTCCAGATGTTATTATTCAAGTTTAGTTGTCTTAGTGTGGTCCAGATGTGTAAGTCGACCATTCTAATTTGGTCCAGATGTTTCCCGCACAGTCACAGATGTTCCTGTCTACTTTCTGATGTTATTCAGAAAGTCCCAGTGTAGCCCAGATGTGCTGCTGACTGTCCTAATTCTATTCCAGATGTTTCTGTCCACAGTGTTGTCCAGATGTTGTTGTCTACCTTCAGGCAAGGTGTAATAGTGGACCATCCGAATATTGTCCAGTATTTCTCTCCACAGTACCCTACAATTTTGTCCAGATGTTTCTATCCCAGGTCCAGATCATTCTGACTGTCATTTTGAGGTCGAGAATTTTTAGTCCGTAACCTCATTGTGGTCCAGATGTTAGGTTCATATGTTTCAGTCTACACTGTTGTCCAGATGTTTCTGTCCAAAGTCCAGGTGTATGCCAGCCAGATGTTTTAGTCGTTGGTCTTAATTGTGCCCTTATTGTTCTGTTCATAATCCACTATACAGTCCAGATGTTCCTGTCTACAGTCTGTGCGGTCTACATTTGTGTAGTGGTTAGACCCATTTAAGTCAGGAGCCAATCAAACGGCTCATAAACATCACATGACTCTCTGCTATCGATTCAATCAGCTGATCAAGTAAACAACATCAACATCATCTACCTATGCAGACTGTTTTGCCATGTGTGTTTCTGTGTGTATCTTGGTTAGTGTGTGTGTGTGTGTGTGTGTGTGTGTGTGTGTGTGTGTGTGTGTGTGTGTGTGTGTGTGTGTGTGTGTGTGTGTGTGTGTGTGTGTTTGTACAGCTGGGGGCAGCAGACAGGCAGAGGGGATTGTGGGAAGGCGTCTGTCTCAGTGATTTCACAGTTCACAGGTTTCAGAGAAAGAAGGACAGAGAGAGGACTAACAGAGATCACAGCTGTCACATCTCATCACACACACACTCAATACACATCACACACAGCTACACACACTGACACTAACGTATGCTCACACACACACTCACACTTCACATCACTGATTCACACACTGAGAGCAGCAGAAAGTCAGTATAAGAGTGATAACACAAAACAAGCTGCCCAATTATATTCTGTGATATATGATCACACATTTAAAGAATAATTAGACAAAACATTTTAAAGTAAGGTCACAATATTCACCATTAATACGTTTCTTATTAGCATGTTGATTAGTAGTGTACTATCTGCTTACTATTCATTATTAGGCGCTCAGCACAAAACTTCTTGTCTGAGTAACGTACAAATAACTCCTAAGTCTTTGTAACTCAGAATATGTTCCCCACTATACAGTCAGATCTAACCCACTACAATGAACACATGGATCTCTACTGAGTGCACATGTTCTTTTCAATCATAAAAAACAACGATACGGGTTATTCATTGATCGGTGTGTAGCTGACCTGATTGACAGGTGGGCGCGTTGTAACGGTTTGTCAAAAGGTATAAAACCCGCCTCAACTCCAGCTCTTAACCTGTTGATAGGTTGGCTGAAAGCTAGGCCTCCCCCTCCCATTACAGTGGATATCGATCAACACATGAGCTAATCAGACCTATTTGTTTTTTTTGCACTTCAGCACTTGAGGTTACCACTTGATTGTGACTTTAATAACAAGAGTTACCAAAGTGTTTTAATGGAGCTTTACAAGATCAAATCACAGCCTTCATAAAAACTATGAACGAACATGTATACACTTAATTAATATATGCTTTAATTAGTATTCATCATTCTCTGATGTACGTCGCTTTGGATAAAAGCGTCTGTTAAGTGAATTGTAGTATTCATATAACAACCTTTTGTCTTGATATGATTGTTTTATATTATTATTTTATATTTCTTATGATCAGTTATACAACAGCTACAGGCGTCCCTTATGAAAAGCTTTAAAGAAAGACATGAATACACACTTAAATGTCTTCATCTGTATAAATGATACAACCTGTAGACATCAAGTTTGATTTCTAAGGATTCATTTAGGTATATATTGGATTCCTGTTTGGATAATCGCTGTGATATATAACTTTCTTCTTGTGATTAACATTTTGCAATACACATCGACATATTTCTTGTGAAACATTTCAACCTGTCGATTTAGGTGTACTGCAACATGTAGACGCTTAAAATTAGTTTTAGGTTAAAGACTCTGGAAACGTCACTTTATATTAAAAAAAAAAATCTATTTAGAATATCAAAATTAAATGAAATTGACTGAAGTCTAAGAAAGCTATATTTCGTGAACTAAATGTATCATCTTAAGCATCTAAATACAATAAAAGTAGTATTAATTAAAAGTTGATATTTGTATGTGTTGTAAAATAATAGATAATATGAGCTGTACATTTTTTTGAATTCCTATTTTATTTTTATTGCCCAAATCACAAAGTTTGTAATACTTTAACTATTTCCGTTTTTATGTAGTTTTCTTTTAAATGTCCTTTTTGTTGTGATTGAAAGGGTGTTTGTGAAGATGTTGTTGTGTCACACTGCCCTCCTGTGGTCACATGCCTACATTACAAATCAGAACCTCTTCTACAGTACCTTCTGTGTCAACTGTCTGAGCTAGACTGACAGTCTGTTTGTTGGCGCCCCCTACAGGCGTCAGACTTTATAGCAGCAGCAGCAGTAAGAACAACTTTGTCTCCAGATAAAGGGAGGCGGCAGTTTGAAGTTCTAATCTTTTTATGGTTGTCGTTTTTTAAAACATTGATACAATTTGAGACGTTAACACCAAAACCAACCAACAGATTTGTTCCTCTGAGGTTTTCAGAGCTCCTGCGGATCCGTCTAATCCCTGGAGTTGGATGTGTTATTGGTTCATCTTTATCAGGGCTCTATCATATCTATCCCACTCTACCTTATCACATGCAGAATCAGGTTCTGCCAGGTTCTACCAGAATTTCTAAAAGGTTCTATCAGGTTTCAATGGATGTTTGGAAAGTCTTTAAAAAGCTGCATTTATATTCCAATATGTTCTAACAGGTTCTAGCCCGTTCCCCTGCCTTTAAGTAAGTTTCTGTTCTACAAGGTTATGTTATATCGGGTTCTAGGAGGTTCTTCCAATGTTTGTTCTGTTTAGTTTTTTTAATCAATTACGAGATTAACCAGTTTCTGCTTTTTATCAACAGCTACATCTTTTCTACAGTGTTCTGTTATTTATATGTTGTGCAGGGTTCTCCAGGTCCTCTGGGCCGGCAGGGCCCTCAGGGGCCTCCAGGCTTTCCGGGCCCTCAAGGGCCACCAGGAGAGAAAGGCCACAGGGGGGAACGAGGGGCCGAGTGGACCTGCAGGACCAAAGGGAGACTTGGTAAATAAACATGATTCTGTTCTAAACAAGACCGTTCTACTCTACACATTATGGTTCTGTTTTAAAATACTGGTTCTGTTTCAAAGATCATGGTTCCAGTTTTAAAATTACAGTTCTATTTTAAACACTTCAACTGATGATAGGTGCGTCTTGGATAATTTCTTCTTGTTGTTTGTTTTTTCAGGGGAGTGTCGGTGTTCCTGGATTTCCTGGTTCAGAAGGACTCCCGGTAAGGAGCCCCCCCCCCCCTCTCAGCTCTTCTGATTGTGTTGGAAGCATCTGTTGAACATGTGTTTGTTTTTTTTAGGGTCACCCTGGTCCCGCTGGAGGTCCTGGGTTTCCAGGTCTGGATGGATGTAACGGAACCAGAGGAGAGAGAGGAGAACCTGGATTTCCTGGAGTGTATGGACCTGAGGGAGTACCGGTCAGTTACTCTGATGGATTTGCGTAATGAATCATACGCTCATAACCTTTGCCGGTGTTGTGGTCGAAGTGAGGGACACAAACCCTGCACAGAAGCAGGGGTGGATAGAGACGACAGGAGGAGAGGCACCTGCAAACATTTTGAAACAAAGAGAATTATTTTTTCAATCTTGGAATTACTTTTGATTGATATTTATGGTCTTGATCCTTTAATGTCTTGTTAATTTATCAGTCTTTTCCTGCTTTGGTCTTGGTCCTGACTCAGTCTCGATCTGTCAATGTCTTGGTCATGACTCGACCTTGCCCTGCCTTAGTCCTGGTCTTGGTCTTGGTCTTGGTCTTGGTCTTGGTCTTGGTCTTGACTCAGTCTTGATCTGTCAATGTCTTGGTCTTGTCTCGATCTTGCCCTGCCTTGGTCTTGGTCCTTGACTCGGTCTCGATCCCTAAATGTCCTGGTATTATTTTGGTCTTGACTCGGACTCAAATAGTAAATGTCTTGGTGTTGGCTCGGGGTTGGAGCACTCCGGTCTTGGGCCTGCCTTTGTCTGGGGTAGTGTGGTCTTGACTACAACACTAGTAATGAGTTTAAGCAGCATAGAGAAAATATTCTATTTTTAAATGTCACTATTAGGTAGTTAATTACATTTTTGAAATAATTTTTAAAACTCCAAAATGTGTTGCCTTGACAACAAGAAACCCTCCATAAACAAAGAAGCATTTTGCTTGTTGCTTCAGTGCATGTTATAATACACACTGTGTTGCAGTATATGTAAGGGGTTAATGTGTTAATCACCATAGCAACGCTGCTTTATCCTGCAGGGTTTTTCAGGATTGAAGGGATTTCCTGGAGATCCAGCGGTCTACTTCATAGACTACCCTGGAATACCTGTGAGTACACCTGTTTCATGAGGAAAGCCAACAGATCTGTCATGCCTTAGGATATTTTCTGATTCTGATTAAACAATTAAAAAAGAAAAGTCACAGATCAAATGCAAAATAATTGTGTTTCTGTTCTTAGTTGTTTTCATTTTTTAAATCATATTCATCAAGTGATGCCAATAGAAGTGTCGGTGTGTAACATGAGAAGAAGTAATGTTTGTGTTCGACAGGGAGACGTGGGGACTGCGGGACCACCTGGTCTGCAGGTGAGAACACCAACATTCAAATTTACATTACCAGCTGCAGAAAGGTCGAGAATCGATCAAGAACTGACTGATACTACAATGGACTTAATCTTTAGTTTTTTCTGATGCTTTCTACCAGGCGCGGAGCCTATGGCTCATTGCAGAGGGGGCGGGGACCAATAGTGGGCCCTTAAACTGTCTATAGACTATATCGCACATGCTGTAGCCTATATAGTAATATAGTATATCATTTATGGTACAGTATCGGCTGTATGGCGATACAAGACGGGGCGGGACGAAGAGAAATGCCTCTGCAGATTACAAAGGGTGTTATTACAGTGACAGGGACTTATCAGTGAGTGACCTGCTGATGTTTAAACAGAACAAGTGCTGATATGTCTGTGCGCATATTCCACCGATTAAACAAGTAAAGCAGACTTCATTAACCGGACGGGAAACCAAAGACAGAAGGCAACTACAGTTTAACATTCAGTGAAGATGGACGCTCATCCAGCCACACAGATAATACAATAAAACCACACATTATCAACCCATAAAACCACACATTATCAACCCATAAAACCACACATTATCAACCCATTAAACCACACATTATCAACCCATAAAACCACACATTATCAACCCACGCACGACAACAAACTGTGTAAACAGTGTGACAGCAATGGCCTGCCGTTCATACAGTACGATAACCAAGCAGACACGGCAGTGTACAACACATGCAGCCACAAACAAAAGACCAGCATCTAATCTCAAATAATGATGAAACAACTTACCAATGAAGTTTTCATCAGCACTGTTGCTTTCCTGCAGCTAGCTGGGTGCTCCTCTCTAACATGTTTATTTGCTTGGTTAGTTGCGTTTACGTTAGTGGAGCTAGCAACGAGAGGAGACTTGCCAAACAGTAATTTGTTTGTTTAATGTTCATTATTTCTGTCCGTGGTTCTGTCTGCAGGGTGAACTGGGTCTCCCTGGTCCATCAGGGGCTGAGGGTCCTCCAGGACTGGACGGGACAAATGTGAGTCAAAGTTGATAAATATTTAATTTTATCTTATTTTTAATGGAATATCTACTTTCTATTGTGTTTTATTTTGAAGTAACATATTCACTAATTAATGTTTTATTCTTTGTATGAAATTCAGTATATATAACTCTGGTAATTGTTCTCATTCTCATAATGTTTGCATATCTACAGGGTCTCCCAGGTCTGCCTGGCTTCAGAGGTCCACCTGTAAGTGTCACATGAAGTTTATTGAATGTTAAAATCAGAGATTAAACTCCATGTTGAGTCTGTTCTACTACTGACCAGCCAGTGAACGGGTTAGTCATTAAAAATACATTTGTGTTTCAGGGAGAAAAGGGTCGATCTTTGCCGGGACAGAAAGGAGAAGAGGTACACCTGTTCAGATTGAAAATGTTTCCTTCTGACCGCGCCTCCTCAATGACATCACTGCAGGTGTTTTCCCTCTGTTACCTGAAGAAACACAGCTGCAGTGACATCACTGAGGGGACGAGGTCATACTCACAACTGTCAGGAGGCTTTAAAGTGTACTGAGAGGATTTATCGAAATGTAACCATCACTACTCAGCCTGCAGTCCTGCTGCTCTGTACTGCACAGGAGCTCTTACAAGAGTAATCAGGGGACCCATCGAGAGGGAGAACCCTAAAGGAGGTAGAACACATCAGGAGGGAGAACCCCAAAGGAGGTAGAACCCTAAAGGAGGGAGAACCCTAAAGGAGGTAGAACACATCAGGAAGGAGAACCCTAAAGGAGCTAGAACACATCAGGAAGGAGAACCCTAAAGGAGCTAGAACACATCAGGAAGGAGAACCCTAAAGGAGGTAGAACCCATCAGGAGGGAGAACCCAATGAGTCAAACCCATCAGAAGGTAGAACCAATATGGAGGTAGAACCCTAAAGGAAGTAGGGCCCATCAGGAGGGAGAACCCTTTAGGATGGAGAACCCAATAAGAGGGAGAACCCATCAGGAGGGATAACCCAGTAGGAGGTAGAACCTGTCAGGGGATAGAACCGATGAGGAGGTAGAACCCATCAGGAGTGAGAACACAATATGAGGTCAAACCCATCACGAGGTAGTACCAATATGGAGCTAGAACCATAAAGGAAGTAGGGCCCATCAGGAGGGAGAACCCATCAGAGGGCAGAACCCAATGGGAGGTAAAACCCATCAGGAGGTAGAACCCAAGAGGCAGTATCTGCAGGTCCTAGTTGTACTGTTACTAACAGTGTGGTGTTAGTTACTGCAGCTCAGTCATATTAATGTTAAGTGCATTACAGTAGAGTTACTGAAATTCTTTGTGCTGTCCACAGGGGGATCAGGGCCCCCAAGGGCCTCCAGGACCATACGAATATGTCGACCTTCCAGAAGACCTTTACATCAAGGGAGAAAAGGTGGGTGGGGCTTAAGTATGTTAAAGCCAATCAGATCAAGGCTTTATTTTCTACCTTGTTCTACTGGAAATCTTCTTCCTAAAGTTTATTTTTGTCCTTGTTCTACAGTTACTTTTATAAATCAGTGGCTCTACTGGGTTTCTACTGGTTCTGTTGGTTCTAATGTTGAGTTCAATTGGCTTTACTATTGTGTTCAGTTGGTTCTAATGCTGTGCTTTTTGACGGGTTCTTCTGCTGTATTGAAACAGTTCTTGAATTGGAATGTGTTTATCTGGAGTTATGTCTGTTTTAATGCTGCTTGCTCTTGATTGTAATGCTTGGTTCTGTTGGTTCTCCAGGGTTCTCGAGGTATTAAAGGAGTCTGTGGAATTCCTGGAGTGCCGGTAGGTTCAGATATCTAATCTCTGTACATCTGGCTGAACATGAGTTTCTCCTCAACACAGCATTCTACCCTTCCCAAGGAAGTTCTCATGGCCATGAAATCCTGCTGAGCTGAGGTTAACCAAACTAAGGGTTCTAGTGAACAACCAAACACAGCGTTCCCTGAACATAGGGACCTCCTAAACACAGAGTTCCACTAAAGAGAGGTTCAACTACACGAGACCCTATTAAGCACATAATTCTACTGTGGACAGACTACCCTTAAAAAGGACTATCAGACCAAGGGTTCCACAGGGTTGTTCTTGAATTAGAGTTCTCCCAACACGACTGATCGAACTGCTTGTCTAAAGAACGTTCAGATGTACCTGTGGAATCTGCAGATTTTTACAGTCACAACGTTGCCCCACAGAGTGAAGAGTTCTATTGATCCCGTTCTGTTTATTTTGGATATTCGACCTAAAGAACTTGGAACTGATGAGAAGTTGGGATTTTTGTTTCAGGGTACAGCTTCTCTCCATGGGATCAAAGGAGAGAAAGGGATTGTGGGATTTCCTGGACCGAGGGTGAGGAACCACCTTTACATTATTGATCAGTATTGAATTTTTATTTGTGTGATTTACTGACTAAAATGTTCCTATAAGCAGAAAAAAAAGATGAATTGACCCTGGGTGTTAAACATGTATCTTTGATTCAATGAATTGCAGAAAGGACATTTGAGGAGACTCAAATAAGTTCACAGAGATTTATTATTTGTTGCTCTTATACTTCATTGGTAGGTATCATAAAATATCAGTCTGTGTATTATTTGTGTGTGTGTGTGTGTTCCAGGGATTTTCTGGTATCCCAGGTAGGATCGGGGTGAGAGGAGTCATGGTGAGTTGTATGTACAGGCTGGATGACAGTGACAAATTGCAATACATTTCAACTGGTCAAACGAACCAACATTTTTACCATTATGTTTATATTTTAAACATTCCTTAAATCATTTGCATGTTTCTTTTCTTCAGGGGATACAAGGAAGTCCAGGTCTGCCAGGTCTGATTGGCCGAGAGGGTCTAAAGGTATGTGTGTTGTTTGTATGTGTTATGTTTCTCCTGTGCGACATCATCAGTACTGTGCTGACAAATCACATCAAAAGAATCCCAACATGAAGTATCTAGACGCGACCAATGTCTCTGTCTGTACAGTCTTCAATTGTTCTGTTTGATGTCTGTCCCCAGGGCATGATGGGAGATCAAGGTCCAAAAGGCCTCCCTACGGTTGTGGACGTCATCTTAACAGGTAGATATCGATACTCACAGAACAGCTGATTGGTGATCACAAAACATTGACTGCTTGGTATGATGTCAACACTCTGCTATGATGCCAGCTCACTCTTCTATCTTCCAGGTGACATTGGAGACCCTGGTGCCCTGGGACTCAGAGGCCCCCCAGGAGATATGGGGCTAATGGGAATGCACGGCCCCCGAGGAGCCCCTGGCAGGTCCATACCTGGTGAGTAGCTGTAGCCCACGAGCTAGTCGGCATTAAGAGCTGGGAATCGAACCCCTGACAAAATATGACAAAATATTGATGCTTGGAACCAGCAATGTTATCATTGTATTACACGAGTCTGGGCAACAGTATAATGCCGTATTGATATTTTGTCCCACGCCTAGTTAAAATTCCGAACAGGAACAAGAACATCACAGGTATCATGAGAGAATAAACAAACACAGACACAAAATAGAACCAACCTGTGTTTATGAAGGATGAAGGTTGTGTGACAATAAATTAAGTGCCCTGGTGGTTTTTCTTCAGGATCAGCTGGGTCTGTAGGTCAGGTAGGTGTTCTGGGATCCAAAGGGGACAGAGGGGATCCAGGTGAGGTGTATAAAGGACCCACACCTGGTGAACCCGGAAAACCAGGACGCCCTGGACCCCTAGGACTGAAAGGAGAACCAGGAATTCCAGGTACAAAAAGAAAAAACATTTCATGTTTGTGTTACACCTGTGATTTTATACCTGTCCTGCCAACAGGCACACCTGTATAATTTATCATCTATATTATTTGATTTATTTTGGGTTTGAATACAAATAATCACTCAAAGATTTTCATGTTGCCTCTTGATGAATTCCTGTTTTCCTCTCCAGGTAGATACTGTCTTTCTGGGGCCACTGGAGAGTCTGGAGAGTCAGGTGAACAGGGTCCTCCTGGGGCTCAAGGTTTTCCAGCTTTCAAAGGTCAGTGTCTTAATTAAAGTCTTAAATGTCAGATTTATATATTTTTTTGTGGACTAATGAAAGATTGAAATTATGTTTACTTGACATTTAATGTTGTGGCTGATCTTAAAAATGTCAAAACATTATTGTCAGAAACCGTTGATGAACAAGATAGCCACAGGTGCACCACAGGGTTTAGTCTTTGGTCCTTTTCTTTTTTCCTCTACATTCTCTTGTTAGTCCCTTAATGATGACATTTAAATGCATTTTGTATAACTTTTATGCAGACGACACACTAGTATACTTTTTGACATTCAAATTTATCTTTGAAAAACTCTCAACCTTGGGAAACTGCCAAATAATTCCAAGGACTGAATGTCGGAATATTCCTAGCTAAACTTAACCCTTGCAAAGAGAAAAACCTAAACATGTGCACTGAGAGCCTGTGTGTTAAACATCACTAGTGACTCAGGCCTCCCTGCTGTCCTAAATCTAGACTTAAGAGACTGATCTTTTCCGTTGTGCTTTCCATTCTCTATACCTTTACCTTTTTTGATTATCAAAAAGGTGCATGGTTAAAAACCTGTACCAGTGATTGGTCCATTCATGTTATCAATCAACGATTTTATCAAACACAACTGGTCCTGTGTTTTCCCCTTCATCAGTTTACTAGAAAAAAAGGTTTTTATATAACTTTTTATGAATCTGTTTATGTTTCAGGTAGTCGTGGCGATTGTTCTTGTGGCCCCCCTGCTGAAATCAGGGGCCCCCCAGGACCTGTGGGTGATGCTGGGTCTCCAGGGTTTCCAGGAGCCACAGGGGTCCCAGGGTTTAGGGGGGAGAAAGGTTTACCTGGAGACACCGGAGAGCGTGGCGAACAGGTGAGCTGCCAGACAAAGTGTCAGAGGTTAATTCAACAACTTGATTGATTGATCGATTGACTGACTGACTGATTGATTGATTTCAGGGTCTTGCTGGATTTCCAGGTGTCAAAGGGTTTAAAGGACAGAGGGGAGATTATAATGTGGTGGATATAAAAGGTGAACTTTACTGTTAAACTGTTCTCTTGAACTTGCACACATACAGTACAGCCCCTAAGTTGATATGTGCTGATGTTTAGGTTCCTGTGTTTTGACGAACAGTTTGTTGAGTTGGTGTAAACAAACTTAACTTTTTACATCTTTGTATGTATTTAGTTACATGAGGTGGTGTTTCCAGTTTCCTGATGAACCAATAAATGTATCTAATGTTTGTGAGTTTTACATCTGTATTGTTCTTTAATCACCTTTATAAAAACTGATGGAGATGTTGATGGACTTTTGTCTCCAGGTGAGAAAGGAAACAGAGGCCAGCAAGGACCTCCAGGAAGACAAGAATTCTCAGGGAGAAGAGGACTTGATGGGCTCCCCGGGGCCCCTGGGAACTCTGGTCCCCCGGTGAGTCACCCTGCTGCAAAATGGAAGCTGAGTCAGAGAGGGTGTGTCTAGGATAGAGAGGTCTGATTAAGAATCTCAGAGAGTTTCTAAAAAATAAAACTCAGCACAGAGGAGGGAACAGGAGAGCTAAAGGACCAATCAGGTCTAAGGAAATATAAGATGATAAACTTTGAACCTTTCCCAGCAGAGCACTTTATCCCTTTGTTTTAAAAATCCTAATTAGATCCATGTTCAGTAATTTCTGAAACGTGTTCCTAATCCTTAGAGGAACATACAGTGGATTGATTTCCACCAAAGAGGTTTAACTAAAATTCTGCTGAAGTTTTTAATCCAAAGCACCAGATGCCTGACAGAGAATTCATGGAAACATTGTACAACCTTTTCAGTTCTTCCAAGGCATTATGTATCGTTTCATCAGTTGCTGAGCCTTTGACCCCTACCGGCCACCGTAATTATGGCAATTAAGAGCTCCCAAAAGAAGTAACAGGGAATAATAACAGTGTTACATTACATTAACGTTACATAATGTTACATTACCCTCCGTTACTTTCGTTTTGGAGTTTTATTTAGCCTTAATAACATGTTTCTGATATCATTCTCTCTTCGTTCCATTTACATTCCTTTTCTTTCCATACCGGGGGCCTCAGTGAGAGAAGACAATACTCTAAATCGTCTCTTCAATACTTCTTATTCAGTTTTCTGATATTTTTTTCAGGGTCCAAGTTTCCCCAGTTCTCCTGGAGACAGCGGGTTCCCAGGGTTCCCCGGGCAAAAGGGGTTAGCAGGACCATCAGGCCCTGTGGGGACAAGTGTTATTGGGGCCATAGGACAAAGAGGGGCCCCTGGAAACATGGGACCTCCAGGACAACTTGGCTTTCCAGGGCCAAAAGGAGTTAAAGGTAGAAATCACGCTGAAGTTAACAACACAAAAATCTGATGAAGGCAAATGACTCCTCCTCTTCCTGTATGACCCCTCCTCTTCCTGTATGACCCCTCCCCCTTCGGTATGCCCCCCTCTCCCTCCTGTTTCCCTCTTCTTCCTGCAGGTGACACTCTGCCCTGTGTGCCCAGAAACCCAGGACCTCCTGGAGAGAGAGGAAAAAAGGGAAATAGAGGTATAAATAAATAAATCATAATCCACCTATTTGTCGAACCTGTCTGTCTGATTCAATGTTTACCTTTCTTTCTTTTCAGGTTTCACAGGACTCCTGGGGGCTCCAGGTTTTCCAGGCCTCACTGGACCTGATGGACTGAAAGGAGACAAAGGTCAATCTGGACTTCTTGGACCACCTGGACGACAAGGTACCAAAGCCCACCTGTTACACCTGTCCGTTAAATTTAATGACATATTAACTTGTCTTAAAATGTTCCCTGTGTTGCTCCTGCAGGACAGCCAGGTTTTGTTGGAGATACTGGGGATGAAGGACCTGAAGGCTTCAGTTATAGTGGAGATCCAGGTACAGTCACTTGCCTGTCAGGGTCGTTTAAAAATCAGAAATTCCACCGGTTTTCATTGCACACCAACAACACACCAATGACATTTCTTTGTTTTCCTAAACACAAACCAATAGCTGCCTTGTTTGGCACTTTCTACTGGAACTACACCCAATAGCTGGTGTGCGACTGTTTTGACGCCTCGAGAAGGAATTTTTGCCCTGAATGTTTTGGTTAACGGAGCCACTTGACCATATTTAAATAAGAGGGTGATTACTCATTACTGCACCTCTATTTTGGTTGATAAGTTGCCAAGAGAACAAAACCTGTTACTTAAAAAAAGGTGGCAGTATTTAATTAAAAGTTGTTTGCTGCCCACCACTGACAAGAAGAAGAAATGTTTGCCTTCTAGGGTTTTCCCATAATGCTACCACAGCATGGCTAGTGGACCCATGTAGAGACAATAGAAATGAATAACTGAAGACATCTCTCCATTTTCTCTTGTAGAAGGGTTAGTTGGCCATGGCCACTTTTTTGTCCCAGTTCAGAAACATTTTTACTCAAATCAAAATACACTTTGCAGCAAGTTTATTTCTCCAAAGTCAGTTGTTCTATAGTTGTCTGATTCAAATTTCAAAGGTTTATTAGGTTACGTTTTGGAAAGATTTGCTCGACATTTGAAAGTATCCGTGATGTAGGCTTACATAAAAACGTGAGAACTCACATGTGATTACAGTCTGTTTTCCTGTGTGTTCACCAGGCTCTCCAGGACTTCAAGGCTCTCCTGGACTCCAGGGCCTTGAAGGAGACTCCAATGTAGGGCCATCAGGACCTATCGGCTTCCCTGGACCATGGGGCTCTCAGGGTCCTAAAGGTGTACCTGGTCCTCCAGGGAATGATGGCGTACAAGGTAAAATACTGGACTTGAGATATGACTCACATTCAGGCTCCGCCCTCACTTCATTCTTTCAAGTGAAGCAGAAAATCTGCACAATTAATTCCTACCTCTCGTGTTTAACCAGGGGCCCTTGGTCTGTATGGGAGCCCTGGAGCAGAAGGCCAAAGAGGACAGGATGGGGCCCTTGGTATAACGGGCCCCCGGGGTCCCCCCTCTGATAGTTGTGATGCTGGAAAATCAGGTCCCAAGGGGCTTTTTGGCCCCCAGGGGCCGATTGGCCCACCAGGTAAATACTGGCTCTATACTTGTTTTCTATAGTTTTCCATTAAATTATTATATCTAAACACAGCCTGCCAATAAAAATTCTGACAATGTGCTCTTTTTCTTTTCAGGATGTATTGGGGAGAAAGGAGACATTGGAGAGGATGGCCCTCCAGGTTTTGGCCCTAAGGGCTCCGAGGGAAAACCAGGCTCTTCTGGTTTCCCAGGTTACCCGGGGCTCCAGGGCCCCACTGGAGTAAATGGAGATTCAGGACTGCCTGGTCCTCGGGGTCAGAAAGGTAAGCTCCCACCACCAACACACCTGTGCTTGAGAGTTCCCTAAAGACATCACAGAAATACTCATTGTATTTTCAGGCCTGATTGGGCCTCAGAGCCAAGAGGGAGTGCCAGGGTCCCCTGGACAGCCTGGGGCCACTGGAGCCCCAGGGAGGAGGGGTCCAGAGGGTTTGATGGTCGAGGTGGAGCTCAAGGATGTGAAGGCCCGAAAGGAGAGAAAGGTAAAAACTGGGCGTTTGGTGAGAAAGTTAAGCTTAGCTCGCCCATCCCCACTGACTGTCGTCCAACAAGGATCCCTGCCCCCCATAGCCGCCATTTCTGTGACAACGCCCTTTCAAAAGGCACGATATCATTATCCATTATGATGTTTCACTGTGGTCATATTCACACACCAGTTTCTTAGAAATTGCCTATGCTAAGGTAAGCACTGAGTGAAAGTTCATCACAACATAGTACTGAGAAAATAACCCCAAAATGTAATGAATGAGTCGAGGTGAATCTGATTTTTTTTTTATAACTGTTTTAGAAATATTTAAACATTTTTGGCTGTTATAAAAACAGTTTGGATTAAACCACATTCAGATCTCACCTAAAAATCCTTAAAATTCACACCCTTTGTGCCCCTCTGCAGGCTGTAAAGGGGCTACAGGGCCTCTAGGAGACACCAATGTTGTTTCCATCAAAGGAGAGCAAGGGAAACTAGGACCCCCTGGCATCTACGGCTTTCCTGGACCAAGAGGTAAGAACTGTTACCATCGAGACCTTTGTAAAGGCATGACACAACACAGGAAGTGGCAGGGTCATGATGTCTTTAGGTTGGAGGTTCATTGCTGCGTTCAGGTGCTCTGTGAAAACTGGAAACACCTCTTGTCCTACATGCTGTACCGTAAAACCATGATCAGGTTCATGAATCAGCTCAAGTCAGGTTGGGGAAGCTGAGCTGGGTTGCGTTGAGACAAGTTGAATCAGGGCAGGTAAATTCAAGACATGTTTAGTCTGGTTCAGTCCAGTGTTGCCGAGTTGAGAGTGGTCCCAGTATCCAACAAGAGAAGAGTTAGTTTGAGTCAAGTTAAGTTGAGTGCAATCTGGCTCAATCAGGGAAAGCCATGTCGAGGTGTCTTCAGGTTGATTCATGCCGTGTCAAGAAAGGTACAGTCCTGTGAAAATGAAGCGAGTTAAGTCAGGTCCAGTTCAATTTAAATGTGTTGAGTGGTGATGAGTGACGTTGAGACATGTACAGTCAGGTCAAGTCTTGTTGATTTAGGATGAGTCATGTCTTGTCAAAAGAGGACCAATCTGAAAAAGTCGAGTCAAGAAGAGTCAGTCAGGACAGGCTAGTCGTGCCATTCAAGGTTATGTCAAGATAAGTGGGGGTGTTGTGTTGAGGACAACTCAAACCGAGCAGAGTTGATGGGATTAGGTTGAGATGTCTGGGTTTAGGTGGAGTTGAGAAATAATAATAATATATAGATTTTTTATAGCGCTTTTCTAGGAACCCAAAGATGCTTTGACAAAATATAAAACCAGGTACACACAGGCTTGCAGGTTCCAATCAGTCAGGACCTGCACCATTTAAATCTGATTTTTTTCACCCACTTGTGAGTTGGGACTTTTTCATGTCCATAAATTTGACCAGTAGTCTCGGTCTCAACAGGAAATAAAGGTGCACGAGGAACAATTGGTAAGCCTGGGTATCCAGGCATCAATGGACCCCCCGGTATAATTGGTCTTCAAGGACCCTCTGGACCCTGTGGCATACCAGGGCCCCCAGGACCACCTGGACGTCCAGGACCTCGAGGCCTCATTGGCTTTCCAGGACAGACAGGAGATTCAGTAAGATGAAGGGTGCTTTATAATCAGCGTTAATACATTACAGGTCAAATTGTGTCAAGTCATGTTGCCTCCTGTGATGCACAACAAGCCACGAGGTTGGGGATTATGATGAGTTTAATCTAGTCAAGTCAGATCTGGTTCTGCCAAGTCGAGATAAAACGCACATTTCAGTGGAGACAGCAGGCTTAGCTTTATCAAGTCAAACTGAGTCAAAACAGTTGGAGTCAAGACAGATTGAGTCCAGTCAAGTTGAGTCCAGTCAAGTTGAGTCCAGTCAAGTTGAGTCCAGTCAAATTGAGTCCAGTCAAGTCAAAAAAGTTGTGACAAACAAGGACGAGTCAAGTCAGGTAGGGATGATTTAGTAAATTCTTTCAGCATCAAGACAAGTCAATGCTTGTAGGATTTGGAGGAGTCCTAATGAGTCAAGCAGGAAACATGTCTAAAAATGATGATCTGTTCGTGTTTGTGGTTGCAGGGTGACTCAGGATGTCCGGGGAAACCTGGAGAACCCGGTGCTCAAGGATGTACTGGACCTAAAGGTAACCACTTGCTCTGATCTTACCAACCACCAACACTCAGCAGGTTTAATTGAATACAAACAAAGATTGT